CCAAATTATTCCTTTCAATACATGTATTTTGATTTTTATATTTTTAGGTAAAAATGGATATTATGAAAATGATTTTAAATGTTAGTAGATTAAAGATGAAGAATTTGAAAATTTAAATTGCCATTCTCATGGATTGAATGAACAAGCTTGCATATCAATCCATAAAAGTGATCAATATTGTAATTACATTTTTTTAATTTTAGGTATATTTGAAAATTTTCAATGTCGATCAATTAACTTACTAGAAATCCAATCTTGTGATTAGAAATTAAATCGTAATGCTTGTCTATCAATTTAGAATCCCTCATTAAATTGCTTATGGGTTCATTAATCTTGTATAAAATATTCTTTAAAATATAATTCTATTTGCGCATAATTAAAGGATGTAAATTCCTCTGTGTGTAGAATATAAAATGGATTATGTATGCACGATGAAACACATAAAAAATGTGTAGCGATTGAAGAAAAAGATATAATAAATATGCCTTGCAATACAAAAGGTTTATCAAAAGATGGATGTTTATCAATAAAATAATAAAATTGTGTTTTTGAAGACGTATGTAAGGAATTAAGTGAATAAGAATTAAAAGTTTATTTTTGTGAAGCTTAATTAAATGAATCTGCATGTATAAATATAAAAACAGAATTTTAATATTGTATATGGAATGGGAAAAAGTGTGAAAGATTGTTTATAAATTAAGATTAAGATTGTCCAATAGAATTTGAAGATAAAGAAATAAAAGTAAATGGAAATGTATGTTAAGCAATATCAAAATCAAAAGTTTCATGTAAATATAATGAAAAAACACATTTATGTATGTTAGCATAATCAAATGATATTTGTGAAACTCCTTTTATAAATAAAACTGGATGTTTAAGTATTAATTTAAATAATTAAACATGTTAATGGACATCTTAAGGATGTAAATTTATAAAAATAATACAATATTAAACAACTTGTAATAGTTTAGGATTTGCTAATTCTATTGCTTGTTCTTAAGTTTATGAAAATAAAAAAATTGGATGTTATTTTAATAAAAATAAAGAATAATGTGATAGTTTATTAATAGAAATAGATGAATAAGCTAATTAATAGATAAAAGAATAAAATATCAATGATTTGAGAATCTTAAATACAATAAATTGTATTGATTAACAATTTGGATTAAATAGAATTGCATGTGCATCAATTACACTTGAAGGAAAAGCATGTTTATGGCGATAAGA